TATATATATATATATATATATATATATATATATATATATATATATATATATATATATATATATATATGATGTAATACGAAAACGTTTCCGAACTGTCATCGAAACTGAGACCACGTTTTAAGTCAAAACTAACTGCACAAAACAACATGGTGAAGGACCGCACCGTGCAAATCTAGATAATCTGCAATCCCCGTTGATCTTAAAATACATGAATGTATTAAGGGTCTTGGTCTCAATCAGCACCCACATTGTAAATTGATATCTACTGACGGTGAAATCAAAGCCATCTTACTCCAAAATTACAATTTCTGAGCAGCAAAGATACTTTTATTTGCCAACATCAAAGAAGAGTAAATAAGCTGGAAAGCCGTTACAACAGAAGAACATGTGCACATAAGACGTTGCACGAAACAATGACATGTATCACACTGTAACAACAGAGATGAAAATGAGAACCTTTTAAAAAAAGATCGTATGCTGGACAATTTCCTAGAAATTCCCTAGCTAGAAAAACAAGGGTTAACGAAAGCATTCTACCCACCATTATTATTTATGTAAATCCCAATCCGATGAGCTAAAAAGATCACTGATGCTGAGTCCTGATGGAAAATTATAGAGGTCATGTTCCATCCTATCTTGTGAAATTAAAAAATTCCCAGAATCTGTTTCGCCATTTACGAATTGGGTGTGAGAATCAAGAAGCATCTATAATTGAGAATTTTATGATCTGATTTCAAGTCATACACACAAATAGAGATATTTTAAAGAGATAAAGAATATTTTAAAAAATAGAGCCTTATGATTTTGAACGATTTTCAGTTTCCACATTTCAATGATAAAAGACAAGTACCTTCAAAGGACTGATGCCCGTGCTAGTGTGCAGCACGGCGACATCCGGCGTGACTAAATCCGATAATGAATCGCGGCGAAATTGTGTTTTGGGCAACACAAATTCATTTGAAGACGTGTCCTCACTAATGTTAGAAAGTTTTCTTTCTTCGATATGTCCTGATTCAATAACAGATTCTACCGGAAATGATTCAAACTTCTTGGTACAAGGATCACATGGATCTTCAATATGGTCGCCTGAAAGACTTCAAGAGCAATCTGTGACATATATGCAGACACTTTCTCTTTTCTGAAGATTCCATATAACAGCTGAGATATCCTAACCAGCACATTGTAGCTAGTTAATTTAACATTATCAATTACATGATTCATGAATTTGGCATTGAGGGGTATCCGCACCTGTTGATAGGACGTCCTCAACACTGGAATGTGTTGACGAGTCTGGTGGACATAGATAGGTTCTTAAAACAGAGTAGTCATCTGTACTAATCTTTAGCTGAAATCTTCCTGTTTGCGA